AAAAAAAAAATGTAGGGCCGATTCTACAAGTGTCAGTCAAATGTAGGGCCGATTCTACAAGTGTCAGTCAAATGTAGGGCCGATTCTACAAGTGTCAGTCAAATGTAGGGCTGATTCTACAAGTGTCAGTCAAATGTAGGGCCGATTCTATAAGTTTCAGTCAAATGTAGGGCCGATTCTACAAGTGTCAGTCAAATGTAGGGCCGATTCTACAAGTGTAAAAAAAATGTAGGACCGATTCTACAAGTGTCAGTCAAATGTAGGGCCGATTCTACAAGTGTCAGTCAAACGGCAGGCCAATTCTCCAACTGGCAGTCAAACGGTAGGCCGACTCTATGTAATGTGTGACAGTGAACGTGTTAATAAGTAAATGTTGTTCAAATTATGTCGTGTTTTATGTCAGTTTCATCAGAAAAATCTCATCAATATGTTAAGAAAAATTTCGGGATAAAAAAACGTAACATTGAAAAAGTTGATATTTAAATCGCTTGGTTGCCTTGACACACGTTTAATGCTTATCTTTTATTCGCTAATTTCGGGATAAAAAAACGTAAAATTGAAAAAGTTGATATTTAAATCGCTTGGTTGCCTCGACACACGTTTAATGCTTATCTTTTATTCGCTGTCCTTGTCTACGTTCGGCAAACTACAAAGGCGGGCGCGAGGCTCGAAAACGTAGTCCCTGACTCTACGTGTGTCAGGTTTAGCTTCCTTGCGGTCTGACACTTGTGGAGAATATACTGTATACGTATCGCGGCTCGGGGTACCACATAGCTCGAGAATTACGCTGGACGAAATGATACGTAAAATGGCGCTTACACAGGCTGAATCCGGTATCCTTCACTTGGATGACCACCATCGGTATCAGTATCATCACGATGAGGTTTACGACGTGGAACACCATTCCTGGCCCGTGAGCTATGATATCCTGCGGCACAAAATAGAGAGGTACAAGTTACGAGCGGAAGTTGCTTGCAGAGAACGCGTGGCATATGAAACGTAGAAGAGCAGAAGAGGAGTGAAGAGGGTTTCGTAGAGGTGGTAGACGGAAAACGAGAGGGAGGACGACGACGACGGTGGTGGTGGTTGTGAACGGGAAACGCGGCACCCCTAGTTACTACTCCCGACGTATGGGTGGGTGGTGGACGTGCGCGAGAATTGTGGAGGACGAGGAGGAGGAGGAGGAGGGATGAACGTGGAGAACTGTGCGCTTCTCAAAATACGCGAAGGTTGAAATGCAGTCCGTTGAACTACCGAAAGTCGTTTATTATCCATGCGGAGGCTCCGTATCCGGTTGTGTCTGTTGCGAAATCCACTGCAAAACGAAACGTTCCTGCCTCCTCTGCGAGGGTTCGTTATTTAAATATGACGCGACGGGAAACTCCACGTCTGACCGAATTAAAGGGACGACGGTTTCTATGTCGGACCGAATGCCGTTGTCACGGCACGTCCACGTTATATTAAACTTCCATCGATTTCAACAATTCTCCTGTACTTTTGTCCCTCTCGTACACCGTTCGATTTCCCTTTATCACGCCGCACCGCGGACAATGGAAATTGTTGTATAGCGATACAGCGGCGAGGCTTTCCTGTTGCGGCGGGAAAAATAATGCGGAGAGGCGGGCAGGTGAATGGACGAGGTGTTCTTCGAGGTTTCGAGTTAACGACTTCTAGCTTGGTTAAAAATGTGTGGCGAATCGAAGTGAAATAGGGTGTTTCTCGAGGTTTCCTCGAAATTATAGATTTCGACTTAACGAGTTACAGTTTGGTTGAGAATTAGTCGAAAATCGAAGTTTATTTCTATCGTGAAGTTTTTTGGAGATTGATATGGGAGGTTGGCTCTTGGGAGGTTGATATGGGACTCTTGAGGATCGAATTATTTAACTGGTATGATGTTTGATGACACGTCTATGTTTCTGTGATTAAATCATATGTACATGTATGAATTTTTTTTCATTGCTTCAGTGTCCCTCGTCTATCACTAACATAAATCTCACACGTTGAGTAACACTATAGTTACTCCCAAAAATATTCAAAAACCACACAAGCTCGTCTTCATCAATTATGATTAATTTCAGCAATATTTTGATTAATTATGAAGGGATACATGCTTTTCACCTATTAATCGAAACCACGTGAAATTACGATATTACAAAAAATATGCAGCCATTTGGTAAAAACGAATATTTCCCATATTCACGATATTCGAAATATTATGAATATTCGTTCGGTTGTTTTGCTAGTGTCGGAATATTTTGTTGGTCCAACTGTATACATAGGTACACGGATATATGGAGCACCGTTGCAGGACGGTCAATCGCGACGAGATGCGAGCCATTGAACCTGTGCAGTTCGATAAAAAATTAAACGACAGCCGAGCACGGGGTTAATTATTTAAACGCATCGTTCAGCCGGCTTTAATACGGTATCGCGCTTACGCGATTTCACGATGAAAATGCACGATACGTCGCGCATTTCCGCGTAAAAACAAACGGGCGCGCTAGCGGTGAAACGTTTTCATCTGATATAAAGTATTCCCACGTTATATTTCTCCAACGTCGGCCTTGGCGTTTGCTCTGCCCCGTTTGTACGCCGTTGGACCGTTCAACAAAGAGGACGAAGAGGAACAGCTGTTTCCCTACGCAGTTTCTCTTTACTCTGGCGACTAAAAGTACGGTTGGCAGGAGTATCGAATCTTCTGCTAGTTTTCCAATGAATATCGAAGTAAGGTTCACATGTGTCGGTAATTGTCCGTCCAGAGTCGAGTGATTAACCCTTTGAACACGATGAAATGGTATACGCGTTCACGAAACGTTTCAGATATTTTTAAGTAGCGAAAATAATTTAGGTACGCATATTTCGAGGAAAACATAATTTTGACATGATTTTTGCCCTGTGAAACAAATCCTAGGATATAGCTTAAAAAAGAATCAATATCTCATTCACGAAACATTTTAGAAATTTTTGAGTTGTAAAAATAATTAGCGTGATTGTGAATTCATTTAGGTACGCATATTTTGAGGAAAAGATCATTTTGATATGATTTTTGCCTTGTGAAATAAATCCTACGATTCAGCTTAAAGAAGAACCAATATTTCAAAATAAAATAGAATATCTATCTCGTTTTAATATGCACAACGTGGTTCAAAAGAATTACGCAAACTTTCCCAAATGTCCCGAATAATTAAGTGAAAAGAAGCTTCTGAGAAGTCAAAGTGACTACCTCCGGCGAATAAAATCTACCAATTTACTTCGCTTCTGAAAAAATCATGAAAAGTGGAATTAGCCCGTTTTCAAATAAACCCTCCAGTCTGTCAAAGTAATATCACCAAAATCTCCCAAAGAAGAATTTGCAATTCGTCTAAAATAATTCATGCACTCCCCGAACAACGCAATTGGAGAATGAAATCGAAACTTTTGTCCGACAGTGTACAAACACACAAAACGAAACACCGACACAGAGTGGACATAGAATAGTCGGTGCCATTTCAAGAACGTCACGCTGTTCGTAAACGAAAGCTGTCGGGTTGTTTTTCTTCGAGAGGGGCGACGACCTAGCTGGCGGCCAGGCCGATCTTTCAAGTTTCACGGAGCGGCCAGGAAGGCCTGGCATGATCGGCGAAGGCTTGCGTCAACGGAGCTGAAAGGCCCCGTTTGTCCAGTCCGCAACCAAACCGACGGCAACCGGTACGTCGGGGCAAATATTTACGAAGCGCTTGACCCAATTACGCGGGACAAAAGAATACCATGAATTTCAAGCGAGGTCCGGCAAATTGCACAACTGAAACATTCATGCGTGTGCAACGCGACTGACTGTAGAATAAAAGGAGCACCGCCGTACCATCTTCGAATAGAAAGAGAGAGAAAGAAAAAAAAAACGTTCGAGCTTGATGAATATAATAATTCCTTCGATACAGGGACCCTTTGATCGTGAACGAGGACAGAACGGAAAAGGGTGTATTAACAGGAAATGGAATTCCGGTTGATCGAATTAACAGGACATGTTAATCGAGACAAATGGATCTATCGGAATAATCAGACGAGATAAAAGCAACGCTAATACCAGCCGGGCTGTAAAACCGTGGCATTACTTACGTGACGCATCCCTGCCACTCTCGACGTTAATAAAACGCGGCCATTTGCATTTTAATTAGCAGCACGCTTCGATCTGCCACGGTTCTTCATATTTTTTTCTCTCTCTCTCTCCTCTTTTTCCTTTTTTTAATCCGTTCACTCTCTCGTTTCTCTTTTTTCCTTAGCCATATCCCCCATGCGGACTTTCCTTTATTATCCTGTCTTCTCGTATATTTCACGCGCGATACGTTTTCACGAGGTTGATAAAGAGACGACGACGACGACGACGGAACAGGATCCGCACCCGTGAAATTGATAGGGGGACAGAATTGAAAATTGCACCGCGAGACACATATCCCCGACCGGCCAATGTTAGTTTTGAGGATTAATTTGTCATGTATTATTCATACGCTAGGTGATTATTCGTATCGTCAAATTATTCATACTACGTTGTTACCATGCGATCGTCATTAGCCGAATTATTACTCGATTAGCGGCTGACGATTAATCAGGCTATGGT